TTTTTTTTTTTCTTCAAAAATACATTAAATAATGAGATCTCTAAGAGGTTCTTTTAAAAAATAAATATATAAATAACACACACACACACATGTGGGCTACATTAAAAATACACGTGTAGATACATATGTACACGCATACATTTCTCATCTTTTAGGTGAGAGCACAGCAGAGTCAGCATGTGCTGGATGTTTCTGAGGTCTCTGGATTGAGACGCAGTCGGCTGGCTGTGGTCTGTGTTGGTGCTGGGGTTTATCAGTGATCTGCTGGCTGCTTCGGCGTAGCTCTGGCTGTCTGGGTGCTGCTCCTGCTGATGTGAAGGAGCTGCAGGCCTGGTGATGCGGTGTGAGCCTGCCGTGGGGGTCCTCCGGTGGAGGGGGTGCTGATTTGAAGGGTGTCTCTGTAGTGGCTCTATGGGGTGTCCATGAGGTCGCTGCAGTGCGCTGGAGCTGCGGCTCAGTGCCATGTCCTTTAGGGTCTTGGCAAAGATGGGAACTGCCCTTCTGTGGAGATGGACATGGTCGTAAAGGCTGTTGAGATTGAGGGTGGGGTGTTGAGCCAGGTAAACATTGGGCTTTAGGGCACAGTCTCTAGACACTCTTGCGTTTATATGCCTGATGGTGTCTGGGTGGAAATCCGAGCGCAGCAGCAGGGTGGAGAGGATGATTCTGGAGTTGGGGAAGTTGGAGGATGCTTTCTCTGCTACATTAACGAGAGCTGTAGCTACTCTCTCTTGTTGAGCTCTCAGGTCGTTGGTGCCGGTGTGGATGATAATATGGCTGGGGGAACCCAGCTGCTCTTCACACAAGAGCTCCAGGGCCTTCTGTGTGTTTGGGCACCATATTTTTTTTATATTTCTTCTCGGGAACAGTTTCTTTTCATCAACAAATTTGCCATTGGAGTCCATCAGGAGTATGATCTGGGGCTGTGTTGGACTGTAGGAGTCAGGTGGAGGAGGGTTGATGGATGTAGTTGTTGGAGGAGGAGTCTGCTCTAAACGTTGCCGTTCTTCTTCTGTCTGTGTCAGTTGCTCCTTCAGAGCTGACAGTTGTTTTCCATTTTCACTTGTTTTCCTTCTGTCTTCTCTTAGCTCTCTCATTTCTTCTCTCATTACAGACAGTTGTTTGTTGTATTCCTCTTTCTGGTTTTTCAGTTCATGAATTTCTTTCTTTAGCATTGCTATTTCTTTCCTGTAAACCTCATCTTTCTCTGTTGGATCAGTCTGCTGCACTGCTCCATGCACTTCTTCTCTCAGCTGCACCAGCTCCAGCTCTATCTCTCTGAACTTCTCCTTCATGTCGCTGATGATGCTGTGCAGAAGGGAGATCTCCTCACTCTCATCCCTGGATTGCTCAGTTGTAGCTTGATGGGTGGAGATGGAGGTGTCTTCTGCCCGTTTTAGTGTATTAGGGCTGGTCTTGTTCAGCTGAGCTTTTCCTTTAATTTGGAGGAAGTCCTTTTCAAATTTTTTCAGATTGCCCTGAATCATTACAGTCCCATTTTTGTATAGGTTGGCTGTTATCATGACATCTGATTCTGAATCGTCCTCTTCTTTGACCTGCAGTTTCCATCCGTTACTGATGCCCTTTCTGATTACTGTGGGGTAATGCTGTCTAATCGCTGAGTGCCAGGCTTCTGGGTCTTCTGTATAAAATATGATGTTGCTGACCTCTCCGTTCTTATATAAATCCGAGTACAGTGTTTCTGGTCTGTCCTTGAGGAGCTTTTCTTTATGTTTTTTCTTTAAGATCTCATTTGTAGCTTTGTATGGGTAAGATATGGGGATTGATTCAGTCATTGTTCAAATATTCTGACAGTTGCTGGCAGTTTGTTGTTGTTTTTTGAATATGCAGATATCCACTATAGTTAGGCCTTATATTGTAGTTTAATTTGTCCAAAAAACAGTTTTTTTGTGTGCAAATCTTTCCCCAAAACGAAGGTAGTTGACTGCAGACCTTATGTAGTTTATCTGTACTCACTTTGAGAGTTTTCTTTCTTCTCTTTCTTCTCTTTTCTTTTGAGGCAGTTGTATGACCTTTTGGGCCACTCTCAGCTAGCTGTCCTCTTCCTGTTTTTCTTGGTTAATTTAAAATCTTCTTTCAAGTAATATTGGTTGTAGGAAGTCTTTCTAGTCTTCAATTCATCAAAACTGAATGTCTGTCTTGTCTTAAAACAACATTAAAGATAAAACAATCAGGAGCTCTTTTTCTTGCTGCTGCTCCACGGAATCTCTCTCTCTCTCTCTCTCTAATTACCATTATATCCAGTAGATGGCAGCAGAGGATCACCCATTAGCTCAGTTGCCATTTCAACTCCCTAGTTTTTTTTTTCACATCTTGCTTTTAGATTTATTATAAAATGACTATGAAAGTGCAGGAAGTCACAAAGTCTCATGTAATTTGAAAATAAATAAATAAATAGGCCCAGACACCAACAGCCTAGTATGGTAAATTATTTAAATACTTAACTAGTTAACTACAAATTAAGTTAATTATTAATGGTATAATAATTAAATAATGCATTAAATATTTTTTATTTTTTTTATTATTTAATTAAAAAATTTAATTTTTCAAACATTGCCTAAAAAGGACACATCAAAGGAGAGTTTTAAGTTATCTTTACCTGTAGAAGCTGCTAAAGGCAACACAGACTACAGTTGCTGCTGTAGTTTTGTTACTCTGAATTTACTCTGCATCACATGAAGCACAGTTCTGTTGTTTTGACATTGGCTTGTCAGATAGTTTGTTCCGTCCATTGCTACAGTTATCACCATCAATCGCGGATCAATCTGGTGGATTTTTTACACTCGCGTTTGTCATTCCTGAAACAGTATACTTAGACGGTCCTCTTAAACTTTTCTTCAAATGTGTGAATGTAGTATGTAAGAGAAGAGCAAAGGGCGCTTCCATTATGGCGCAACTGTCTGAGCTTACTCGCGTGAAAACTCCTGATATAATCAATAACTGAACTACACAATGCATATTTTATTTACATCGTGTATGCTTTCTTTTTGTCTTGTTATAATAGGAAGATCTGTGAGCATGTAGAACTACATAATTTTGCGAAAACAAAAATTAGATCAGAGAGGATTATGACTAACCTACAGTAAACGCCTCTGATTGGCCACTGCTCTCAACAGAGATGCCTGCGATTGGCTACAATATTCAATGCTGCAAAACACTTTGTAAATAGAAACTTTTGGTTTTGTAATTCGAAACCAGAGCGTGCACACAAAAACATACAAAGTCGTTTGAAAGTGGGTGACTTCGAGCGGGTACAGAATTGAGTTGGTACAATTTTAAAAGCTCAGCGGATCTACACGAATCACACAAATGATCAATTTTGAATTCAAAACGGCGAATTTCACCGAAAGGTGACAAGTTTGTATCCCTGGTACCGAAACTTGCCAAGCAGTGACGGTGGTGATGTACGCGTCTTTCCCGGTACCACCTATTCTATTGCAGCTTATATTAAAGGGGTCATATGATGCGATTTCATTTTTTCCTTTCTCTTTAGAGTGTTACAAGCTCTTGGTGCATAAAGAAGATCTGTAAAGTTGCAAAGACTAAAGTCTCAAATCCAAAGAGATATTCTTTATAAAAGTTAAGAGTTAGCCACACCTACCTAAAACGGCTCGTTCGAACACGCCCCCACATACAGTGGGGCAAAAAAGTATTTAGTCAGCCACCAATTGTGCAAGTTCTCCCACTTAAAAAGATGAGAGAGGCCTGTAATTTTCATCATAGGTATACCTCAACTATGAGAGACAAAATGAGAAAAAAAAATCCAGAAAATCACATTGTAGGATTTTTAAAGAATT